ATTGTTGTTGTTGTTGTTAAGTGCCATGGAGTTGGTTCCCACCCATAGCAACCCTGTATAGGGCTTCCAAGGAGTGGCTGGTGAGCCTGAACCACCGACCTTGTTGTTTAAACCAACTTTGCAGTCCAGGCACTAACCCACAGCACCACACCAGGACTCTAGGATTCCCATAGCAACTCTTAAAATCAAGTCAAGAGTATACTCAAAACTCTTCAGTGACTCTTTAAACCCCCTACCCCATCAATCTCCATGCCCCATTATCGCTCTAATTCCGTGCCAGTTACATGGGTCTCTTTGCTGATCCTCTAACACTACAGGCAGCTTCTACCTTAAAGCCTTTGTCCCTGCTCTGGGTAACTACACTGCCAGCCCCCTTGCCTCCTTTAAATCTGTGCTCAGTCTTCACTTTTTCCACGTAGCCTACCTTGACAAGTCCATTTAAAACAAGAACTCCGTCTCCTCTTTGGCACCCCTACTATCTGCCTAATCTATCACCCATATATCACAGCTAGATGATATATCTACTCACAAATATAGATAGATAGCTAGATAGACAAATATAATTTATTTTTTCATTGTCTGGCTTGCCTGACTAACTCTCAGAGAGACATTACTTATGACTGGTAATACATCCAAAGTACCCAGAAAATAGTTTAAGTTCTTAAACACAGTGCGCTGAGTTCATAAACACATAATTATTTTCACTTATGCCGATATATACATACATATATACATACATTCTATAAATACTTCTCTCTAAAGTCATAGACGCTAATACAGAACTTTGATATTCTTTACTGAAAGTTACTGTCTTGAAATGTAATAGCTACACCCCAATTAAATTCTACTAAAGAATACACAGCAAGTTATGACAGACACTATGACTTCTAAAAGCTATCTAAGTGCCCTTACCTACAATTGAACTACATTCCGTGTGGTGGAAAACTGTTCTCTAAGCTGCGAAACAGCAACAAAAATTATCTCTGATCTGAAGTTTATAACACCCCCCCCCCCAAAATCATAGCTTATTATAAATCTTTACAAACACTACAACCAAAAGAACCAGGCTCTACCTGGTTCAAATGGAAAATAACACAAGTTTAGAAGAACATCAAATAATAGTTGTCACTTGGATTTTAATATCTAATTTGCACAGGGACAAGCTTAAGATTGCCAATGTTTTCTTGACAATTTTGATCTCAGTCTTCAGAACTCAACTTTGCAAATATCACAATTTAATTCAAAGTTTTACTCTATTTTCATAGACATTTGATTTTCCTTAATCAGATTGATTTTCTTTTCATTTCCACACTGAAATCTCATTACTTATCCAAGTTCCTTTCACATCTCACTACTCCTCTTTCAATTCTTCCTATATTTTTACTAGCCATATATACATATTTTATGTTACAGAATTCTAGTTGTTCATTTACTTACCTGCTTCCCTCAAGAATGCACATTATTTCATAGCTTCATTTCAGTTATTTTTCAAAAAGAGCTTTAAAGCAATCTCTTCTTATACTCAATAGAATTTCTTAAATCCCCTCGCCCCAAATGTAAAGGACTCATAGATAGAGTATATTTAGTATGTGTATAGAGTGGATATTATACAGTATGTGGCACTGTAGGATTAGCACTGAACTGCTAACTGAAAGGTTGACAGTTCAAACCCACCAGCTACTGGGTCCCTAGGAGTCGGAACCGACTTGATGGTACTTACAGCAAAAGCATATTCTGTGGGCAGAGTTACTAGATAAAAATAGGATGTCCAGTTAAGTCTGAACTGTGGGCAGAGTTACTAATAAAAATAGGATGTCCAGTTAAGTCTGAACTGTGGGCAGAGCTACTAGATAAAAACAGGATGTCCAGTTAAGTCTGAATGTCAGATAAGTAACAAATAATTATTGGCATATGTATGGTCCTGGTGTGTCACTGTAGGATAAGCACTCGACTGCAAGGTTGTTTAGAACTGAAAGGCCTGTGGCTCTAATTCACCAGCTGCTCCTCGGAAACCCTATACAGGGTCGCTATGAATCAAACCAGACTCGATGGCTCTTTACAACAACATGAGCCACATAGTATTTGAGACCAAACAAAAACATTGTGTGAAACCTACTTAATACTATCTAAAAATAGCATTTTTTTATCTGAAATTCAAACTTAGCTGGGTGTCCTATACATTTATTTGCTAATCTGGCAGCCCTATTGGGTTTACACCATTATGGTAGAGTCTCTGTGCCTGACCTGAGTGGGTGATACCTGTGTAGCACCTGTCATGGCATATGCTTACCCACATAACCCACATTCATAACAGATGATGCTGCAGTGGAATAATTCATAAAATACAATAATCTGCTGGAAAAAATACTCAGATAAAGCTCCTATTCGTGTGTTTCCCCTTATCACCCTGTTAGACACAGGGTGATAAGTCAAGTCAGTTTCAACTCATAGCGACCCTATGCACAATATATTGAAACACTGCCGGCTCCTGCACTAAAAATAAATGAATCTATTTTCTAACTATTGACAGTCCTCTCAGAGTAAACGCTCTTAAAGTACATACGAAATGAATGTTCAGGAAAATTTAAATTTACAGAACAAACTTAAAGTGTTTTTGTATAAGACATTACACTTCATTCTTGGGGAGGGAAGGAATGCATTAGTATGAATAATACCCAATAAAAGCATGGTCTCACTTTATTTAAAGTTAGCAGTTTCTTACTAAGATTACAAGTAGTCTATAGAGGTAATGAAGGCGCTCTGGTAGCATAGTAGTTACGAGTCGAGTTGCTAACCTCAAGGTCAGCAGTTCAAAACTACCAGCTGCTCCATGGGAGAAAGATGAGACTTTTTGCTTCCATAAAGATTTATAACCTCAGAAACCCTATATAGGATCTTTATGAGTAATAACCGACTCCAAGGCACATAACCACCACCACCATAGAGATAGTGGAGTTTCTATACACACATATTAAAAATAATAATAATTAGTAAATGTACAATGGCAATTTTAGACAAACTGAACTTACACAGTCCAAAGTAAGCCCCATGTAGCAAATAAATAGTATACCAAAGATAACCGCTGGTAAGTTTGAACAGAAAAAAAGACATGTAACACAGTCTTATTAAAAAAAAAAAAAAAGAAAATTCAGTTTAAAATGAGATTGTGAATATCTGAAAAATATTACTTACTTCAAGACCATTTGAAAAGAACTGTAGTTAAAAGTATATCCGCCAATCACCCACATAAACTTCCCATGTAAAACGGCTTTATGTGAAGCCCGGCCTACAGAAGGACTGAAGGGTTTAACATTTGGCAGAATCCAGTAAGACTCGGTAGAAGGGACATTCAAAGAGCAATCAGGACCTATTTAAAAACAGAACCAAACAACACACTGCATTAGACAGCGCCCTTAGATTACAAAAGAGAAGCAGTGGGTTAAGAGAATTCAATAATTCAATGTTCATCATGTTCATAATGTAATAGTCCTTAAATATATAATAAATGATCCGAAATATAATTTTTTAAATTCTAACATCAAATGTAGTGAGTGCCTACAAGAAAGAGTCAGACATTCAATCAATCTTGAATATGTTCAAATAAATACCACCATCTGAAAGAAATGTTTAAGCAATGTAAAAATTTAGATTAACTTGAAATGTTAGAATTTCACATACAGTTCTGACTCTTAACAGCAGTCTGATCTATGATCTATGGCAAGTCTGTTTAGCACTCTCATTATAAAGTCTTCATGTGTAAAATATAAATTGTGCTTTACCCGCTAGGCATTGCTATTAATATTTGGTTTTTAGAAGGACAGTAGAAATGAAAGCATTTGTAAATTATAGTCCTAAAAATATATAAAATAAAGATTACAGTTTTTTCTTAGCATTATTCAATTGCCTTACACACTTATGAAAGCTGGGTAATGAATAAGGAAGACGGGAGAATAGGTGGTTTTGTACTAGGAAAGCTGATGTCGAATATTGAATGTACCATGGATGGCCAGAAGAATGAACAAATCTGGGTTGGAAGAAGTAGAGCCAGGGTGCTCCTTAGAAGCAAGGATTTGCTGTTGTTGTGTTCTTGAGTCAGTTCAGACCCGTAGCAACCCTGCACAGGGTTTCCGAGGAGCAGCTGGTGAGATTGAACCCCCAACCTTGCAGTTCAAATGGCTTTGCAGTCTGGCACATTAACCCCCAGTGCCATACCAGGACTCAGAACTAAGGAAGGTGAGATCTTTTATCATGTACTTTGAGCATGTTACTTCAGGAGGGCCCTGTCTATGGAGAAGACCATCACACTTGGTGGAGGGTTAGTCAAACGGAGGAAGGCCAGATGGACTGACACAGTGGCATCCACAGGCTAAAGCATATCAATGATTGTGCGGATGAAGCAGGACTCAGCAGTGTTTTGTTCTGTTGTACAGAGAGAGGGTTGCTATGAGTTGGAATTGACTCAATGGCACCTCATAGCAGCAACTTTTTTTGATAAATAATTTTACTGGAACACAGTCATAATTATGCATTTAAACATTTTCTATGACTGTTCTTACACAAGAGTAGCAGATAAGTAGCTAACTGACACTACTATTGTTAAGTGCTATCAAGACAGTTCCAACTCACAGCAACCCTGTATAGGATTTCTGAAAAGCAGCTGGTGGATTTGAACTCCCAAACTTGTGGTCTGCAGTCCAGTGTTGATTCTAAATTGCCACACCAGGAGTCTATATGGGCTGCACTATATGAGCTGTAAAGTAAAAAATATTGACAATCTTACCCTTTACAGAAAAACTTTGGCTGATTTAAGAAGAACTTGACCACATGAACATCATTTATATATATATGTTACCTTCTTAAAAAGGAAACATAGGGGGGGAAAAAAGGAAACAGACATTTTAAACAAAACAAATGAGGTAAAATACTAACAGATTCATCTAGATAAAGGTTTCACTGGGGTATTCTTTGTATTATTCTTACTCTTGCAACTTTTCTATATTTTTGAAACCACACTATCCCCAAGTAAAATGTTAAAAACCAATAGACCACTGCACAGAACTGGAAGCAGGCAAGTAATATCTGACTGCAGATGTGATTAAATTCAGCATTTTGTGATGGGGAGAGTTTCTAGGACTATCCAAGGAAGCCCTAGATGTGATCACAAATGTCCGTACAAGAGAGGGAGATGAAGATTTGACTACAGAAGAAGGTAGCAAGATGGATGATGGGTCAAGGGCATAAGGAATGCAGGCGCACAGCTCTAGAAGCTGGGAAGTCAAGAAAACAGATTCTCAATGTTCAGCTAGCACTGAGCAGTGGACATCTCCCAGGACAATCCGCACAAGCACAGCAAGACTGGAGGCAAGAGGAAGCTCTATCACAAGAAGAGGAAGTATGAACTGGGATGTCCAGCTGCCAACACTACGATCAGTCTCTCGGTGCACACATAGTTGATGTGAGAGCAGGCAACAGGAAGGACCAGGCCCCTAATGTGGGGGCCTTCCCCTGGGGCTCTGAATCCACTAGCTCATTGATGCTGTCATAAACGAGCTGGTCCACACCTGGGGAGGCCCTACTTCCAGCTCACTGTCAGAACACCACCCCAGCAATGGTACAAGTCACACTATCCACTGACATCTGAGGAAGAAGAGAGTTCAAACAAAAAGTTGCTGTTGTTGTTAAGTGCCATCGAGTCGGTTCCGACCCATAACGACCCTGGATAGGTTTTCCGAGGAAAAGTTGGTGAGGTTGAACCTCCAACCTTGCAGTTCAAACGGCTTTGCAGTTTGGTGCATTAACCCACAGCGCCACACCAGGACTCCATCAACAAAAAGTGATGGACACAAATTCAGAAGAAATAGAATGTCAGGAAAAAGAATGCACAAATTCCAGTCTTTCGAAGGATCCAGCTTGGCCACGCCCGCTTCTTGTGGTTAAGGTGGTGACGCAGACAGGTAAATGCTAGAACTAGGGCAAGGAGCTGAGAGGACTCAAGGCCCGGAAACAAGAACAACCCTCCATCCTCCTGATGTGGCACTGTAGAATAAGCACTGGGCTGCTAACCACAAGGTTGGCAGTTCAAGCCCACCAACCGCTTTTCGGAAACCCGACACAGGGTCGTGCTAAGTTGGAACCAACTCAACAGAACTTAACAACAATAACAGCCTTTATCAAAAAAAGAAAAGAAAACAGATTTTCTTCTGGAACCTCCGGTAAAAAGCCAGCCCTGTCAACATCTACTTTCTACTCAGAGAAACTGGTTTTGGATTTGTGATATCTGAACTGAAAGAAAATAAACACGCTGTTCTAAAACACCAAGTTTGTGGTCATTTGTTACAATAATCATAAGAAACAAGTACAGAGCTATTTAACGGAACAAACAATTCCAAAGGTGTTAAAAAAAAAAACAAAAGTTAAAAAAAAAAACTCTCCTGCTAAGGCTGAATTTTCCAACCAAATAAAGAAAAGCAGCTAAAATGTTTCCTATCTTTATTACCAAATTTTGTGTAACTTCTGGCAATTAGTAGAAGGAATGATCAGCAGCCCAGCTCTACATATTATATTTTTAAATGTCCAAATTAATTAAGTTTATAAATTAAATGGTAAGATTTAAGAATATATCTTAACTTATGGATGCAGTAGCACAAAAGAGGGAACAAATCTTTACAGCGAGGATCACTCCCACCCCCTCCATATACACAGTAGACAGGGATGGGCAACTTGGACTCTGGCTACCCAAAATGGGAGGCTAGAAAAGCAAGTGACTAGCTTACAAGCTTTCAACAGGGAGCCTAGATCCAGAGGGCACAGAGGAAGGTAGAATCTCCACTGAGTAGTATCCAATCTGTCTGGGCGGGGCTAATGAAAGGAGATGGGGATAGGTCCCTTGTGGCACAATAGTGAATAATTGTTATCAGGGCAGACTGCGAGGGTTGGAAATGTAAAGGTAGATGTTTTGTAGCAAAAGGAGGGGAGTGATTGACTATGCAGTCCAGGAGCAGAGGTCCCTGGAACCATCAAGGGAAAAGAACGGAGTGTGAGACCCTACCCAGAGAAGCAGTGACGCCAGAGATGGAGGCAGAGATGATGACGTGGAGAGATGTAACAGCTGGGGACTTTAGACACAGAGAGGGAGAGGGACTGTGTGCTGATGACTGGGGGGCAGGCTTGCAGGGTATACCCTTTGGTTGGTTGATGATGCATGGAGGGGCTTGTAACCAAGGCAATGAAATGATATATATGATAGGATGAATGTAAAGCTAATGTTTTCCCATGTAAACTGTCACATAATCAAAATACTTAAACAAAAAAAAAAAAACCTTAACCATGAGTCTTGATTGACAGCTGCTTCTAGAAGCAGACCTAACCTTCCCCCCTCCGCATCCTCATCATGAACTAATTGCTGCTGGGTAGCCATTCCCTCCTAGTTCAACATCTAAGGGCACCCCACGGACTAGGAGTAAAATATAAGTATTTTTCTCTATAAAGAAATGGTTATGTTGTTCTCAGACCATGTGCTACTGTTCCAAAGTCTGGGAAAAAAAGTCACATCTCAAAAAAAAAGAATATGTCTTAATTCTTATGATTCAACAGTGAGTAATTGTTATCATGACTAATTGCAATTGTCACAACTGTAAAGGTAGAAACTTTGTATCATAAAATGGGGAGTAGTTAATCTTACATTCCAGGAGCAGAGGACCCTAGGACCATCAAGGGAGAAGAGCGTAAGTGGAATATGGGATCCTATCCAGAGAAGCAGTGACATCAGAGATGGAGGCAGAGAGGAGGACATGGAGAGAGAGAGCAGCTGAAGACCCTAGACTCATGGAAAGAGAGGGACTGACTGCTGGCGGCCAGAAGGCAGGCTTGCAGAATGTGCCTTCTGGTTGTTTAAATGATTATATATTCTTGAGGGTTTTTTTTGTGTAAATCAAAAACACAAACAAACAAACAGAGAGTAGAAGCAAATATTGTTGAATGATGATGCATTCAGGGAACTGTAATCACTGCAATGATACAAAATACAATAGGATGAATGCAAAACTGATGTCCTCCCATGTAAACTATCACTCATTGCACAATAATAGCTTTAAAATAAAGAAAAAGAATATATCTTAAAGTTTTAAGCAAACTTCTCTTTTCTAATATGCAGCTTTCTGCATACTGAAATCAAAATGATTAAAAATATGAATTATGAATTTGGAATCCAAATAGCTATAAAGAGTACTTTAGACCTATATGGGCTTACCCAGCCATGTAAACATCTAATATTGATAACTCCATTGAAGTCCAACTAACCCTGACTCTTTATAAAATATGGCTGTGAAAAATCTACCATTGTATAACCGGTTCCTCTGCATAGCTTGT